GTCCGTCACCACCGTTACGAACGGCAGCTGCCGTCTGCTCACACACACACACACCAACAGCAAAACACACGCACACGCACATGGGGCACGAGGTACTGGCGTTGTCGGGGTGTACAATCGGAGGAGGGAGCGATAGGGGGGGGGGGGGGGGGTACTCATTTTTTGCTTGCCGTAGTCATTTGACCATTGACCACGCGTCCCTTTCGAGACGGAGCACCGTTCCTACCCCTACTAGAGACACCACCAACATTTGGGAGCTCTTTACGTTTCTGCCACAAACTACATAAAAATTTCTTGCACATCTTATCCCCGTCCTCCACGGCCTCTTGTGCCCACCATCTATCCCCAATTACCGCGATCGTTTTTTCGCTGTTGTCTAATTTACCAAACTTGTCCATGTCACACCCTCTCTGTCTCATGTCCTCCTCGAGATCCTCTCTTTCCTTCCTGTACAGCTCACACTCCCCAACTATGTGGGGTCTACTCTCCTCCGATTTGCCACATGGACATGTCTGTCTATCCTCCTCTTCCTCTCTCCTACGGCTGCTGTACCTCTTCCTCCGTTCTGGCAAGTCCAGATCGCCTACTCGAAATTGCAACTTCAGTTTTTTTGCGTCGTCCATGGGGCCGTCCAAGTAACTCTTCATCCCTATCCCTTCTTTCAACTTCCCGTATGTCTCCAAGTGGTCTTCGCTTCGTACCTTCTTCCGAAGGGTTGCCTCCTCCCTACTTTCTAGCATCTCCTTGACTTTCTTCTTGAACCCCCCGAACCCTTCCGTGTCCAATGTCTCCTCCTCGTCTCCTATCTCCTTCCAAACCCTCTCTACCACCTTGTCCCATCTGATTCCTTTCTTCCCTGGAGTCGCTTTTCCCCAAGCTGCCTTGTCAACCATGGCTGGTAGTCTATCGTCCGACATTCTACTTACCTTGTACTGCCAAATCAACTTTTGCATGTCTCTCTTTGTTTTAAGAGAGTACATTCCCAGTTCTGCTCTCAATACAGTGTTGCTCGTTGTACTTGAACATCCTAGTATTTTCTTGGCCGCTGCCATCTGCACCGTTTCCAGCTGCTTGACGGCCTTTTCGTTACCTTCCCATACCTCTCCTGCATACTCTAGCTTAGGTACAATCACATTCAAGAGAACACACCTCTTAATCCTAGTGTCTAGGTGTGGGTCCGTAAGGATCTCGTCCATCTTGCCTATCTGAGCTTCACCCTTCCCAATCAACTTTGCTATGTGTGCGTCCCATGAGCACTCCTTCGAAATCTCTACTCCCAGGTACGTATACCTGTCTACTACCGGTAGTTCTTCCTCCCCCCATTTCCATTTGAATTCTACGGGATTTTTCTTGTCTTCGTTACAGACCACTACTGCGCATTTTCCTACGTTCGCCGACAGTCTCCATTTTCGGGTGTATCCTACTGCCGCATCTATTTGTTCCTGCAACCCTTCTGGTGTTTCGGATACCCCCACGAAATCATCTGCAAACATCAGTCCGGACACACTCTTCCCCCCTACTTGGACTCCCTGTCTTACTGCTTCAACCGCCCTTATCAAGTCGTTGATGTAAATCTTGAAAAGAGTGGGTGACATCGTACAGCCCTGTGCGACTCCTTGGAGTATATCCACGTACTTCGAGATTTCCCCATCCAACATCACTGCACTTCTTGTGCATTCTGTCATCTTTTTCAACATCCTCCACATTTTCCCCCGGATCCCTATGTCCCACATCTTTTTCCACAATCCATTGCGCCAAACGGTGTCGTAGGCTTTTTGTACATCTAGGAAGAAACAGTATGTCGTACGCCCGGCGTCTTTCCTACCTTGGATAATTTTACTCAACGTATATACATGGTCTACACAACTACGATCTGGTCTAAATCCAGCTTGTCCTTCGCTGATCTTTTGTTTCCCCTCCAACATGTCTCCCATTCTATTGTTTATCATCTTGCCAAAGAGTTTCCCCACTGTGCTCAGCAAGGTTATCCCTCTATAATTCCCCGGGTCAGTTTTATCCCCCTTTTTGAACAGGTTCACGACTACTCCTTCTCTCCATCTCTTCGGCGCGTACTCGTGTTTCCATATCCAGTTGAATATCCGGACCAACATGTTAATCATCCCTCCCCCCCCTGTTTCAAAAGCTCATTCACAATTCCATCAGCCCCTGCCGCTTTTCTATTCTTGAGTTTCGCTACACAGTCCTCTACCTCTTCTCGTGTGAACTCTCCCTGAAACCCGTCTACATCGCTACATTCCCTACGAGATCTTTCAACGTTTTCCTCTGCCCACGAGTTGATTTCCTTCTCAAACTCCGAGTCGAAGTTGTCGTTGGTGGTGGGTGTCCCAAGTTTGCGGTAGTGCTCTACTAGTACTTCCCGCTTTCCGTTAGAACTGCTTACCATCTTACCCTCGGCAGATCGTAGTGTCGCTATTCCCGTGTCTCCCCCTCTTTTCTTGCCCACTATCCCTTGGATTCCTACCCACATTTGCTTCATCCCCCCCTCAAAATCTTCGTTAGTCTTTTGGACTACTTCCTCCCACAACGCTTTCTTCTTCTTCACCACCAACTCCTTCACCCTCTTTCTATTTTCAACATACTCCTTCCATCCTGCATCGGTTTTCCCTGCCGCATATTTTGCGCGTGGCTCTCTACGTACTCGAATTGCTTGCTTGATTTCTTTGTCCCACCACTTCACTGCTCTATTACAAACTATCAACTTTCTACAGAGAACTCTACTTGTCGTTGTGTTTACCAGCTTTTCCCACCCTTCTATGATTCTAGATCCGGCCTGGTCCCGACCTTTGGCATCCTTCGGTGTGCCCATTGCCTCTATCAACTCCGAGAGTTTCTTGTCGTATACAGTCATCTCTTCTTGAAACTCTACCCTCGTTTCTTCTACTTCTAGCTTATCTATTCTCCATCTGTACATTTTCCTGCGTCGCCTACTCTGTATGACTCTCGTCTGTTGTAGGGCTGTCCACACCAACGCATGGTCTGTAGTGCCTACATCCGTTGTGCATACTCGTACTTCCGTTTCTTTCCCCTCATTCTCTACGACTATGTAGTCAAGGATGGAGCGTTCTCCTTTTTTGAAACACTGCCTAGTCCATTCCGGTTCTGTCTTTCGTACTCTACCGTTCAACACCTTCATCTCGCTACTGTTAAGGAAATTCAGCATTTCTTCCCCGTTTTTGTTCGTGGCTCCCTCCCCATATTGCCCGATGGCTCCGTGTGGGTTCGTGGTTCGCCCGATTCTTGAATTGAAGTCCCCAACTAAAACTACTTCTCCCTTTCTCTTGAAGTTTTG